ACACCTGATATAGGGTGTTGATGTCATTAGACCACACCCCTTCTCATTACAGAGATGCACATCACCTAATATGCTTAATTGGTAGTAGGCTTTGGAGCCTATAAAGCTTGGACTAAGACAACATGCATGAAGAGGATGATGTGGACAAAATACTCATTTGCCTAATAATTCTGCACTCCCTGTAGAAGAAAATTGTGTATAAAGAACCTCTTTCTTTGTCATCATCAGGATGATCATCCTGGAGGACGACCTGGAGAAGCTGATGGTGTCCAAGGAGCTGACGGAGTTGACGCTCGAGGGCTACCAGGACCTGAGCGACCGGCTCCACCAGCTGCAGCCACACATGCAGGCTAGCACTGGCTGCTGGGAGGACACCATCAGTCAGGTGGAGCGCATGCTGAGACGAGCCAACGCCTGTACAGGTGAGGCGGGTCAAACGCATAATGTCAGGTTCGACCTGTGAAGGCATCGCAGTGACTTCCACGTTATCAGCTCAGTGGTTTCACGTAACTTCAGGCCTATTTTTATCCCTCCTTCCTTTACCATGACTCAAGACTGTTGCCGGTCATGAAGGAAGTTGCTTAAACACATTGTAGGACAAGAAATAGACCAATCATAGCACAGCTGTCTGCACAGTGACCAAACTGTTGCTTTCCCACAATAATGTTAGTCTGAAATCTTTCTGTGTAGCCAGCGCTGAGGGTCTGGAGCAGTGCAGTCCTCCTCCACCTGAGGTTCCCGATCCTCCTCCATCCTACCCGCTGATCCTGGACAGAGACCCCGTGCCGGAGGAGCTGGTAAGATCAGCTGTCGACTGTTTAACATTAAATCTGAAGCTATTTTTAGCACGATTGTTGAGTATTTTTTGTCAGGACAGGAAACCATGTGTATAACTCGTACCCCTTCCCCTGATGACTTATTGCCCTGTTGTCAGCCTCTCCCACTCTTTTATTCGACCAGGAGTGGGAGGCCTACGTGTCTGACTCGGACTCTGATGGCGAAGGCAGAGGGTCATGGTCTGACATGTTGTCACCGGAGGAGCGGGAGCGGCAGCGGCGGGAGAGGGAGGAGTCCCGTCGCGTCCTGTCTGAGCTGAAAGCTGTCCTGGGCTTCCGTGCGTCAGAGGGGGAGAGGATGAAGAGGAAGCAGCTGCTCTTCAGCGACCAAGGTCTGCACTGGACGTTCGAAAAACGCATCTACTGATCCTCAGGATGACAGTTCATAAAATCTGCGTGTACATTTTTAAATGCATGCAGGCAAAACGAATAAGTATTACTCAAATTTTGAGCTAATGTTCCTTATTAATGTTATGTTATAGTTAGCAGCAGAGCCTAATAAATAATTATTATTCCTACAAGTTTCCCCACCAGCAGATGTCACTGAAATCATCCACGTCTTTCTTTCTTTCTCGCAGCCGCCGTGGGGCTTTCGGTTCACACAGAGGGTTCAGACCCTTCCACTCAGCCGTCAGACGATCTGACATCTGTGGGCAAAGGAGAACCTGCCATCGACAGAGGAAACAACCTGTCAGAGCGCTCTGCTGGAAATGAAGAGAAGGAGCAGGAAGGAAGACACGATAGGGTGAGGCCTAACCCCTCCACCGACCCCGTGACAGAGTTCAGCTGCGGTGTGGAGCAATCAGAGATGGGAGGAACGTCTGTCTGCAGCAGAGGAGGAGGAGGTGCGTCAGAGCTGCACCAGTATGATGGCGTCCTGGAGGAGGGGGAGGGGCAGAACGGCCTGGACTGCTTCCTGAAGCCTAAAGTCTCCGCCGTCTCTGTGATGGACAGACTGACGGAGATCCACGGCTCTGAGGCGCTCAGCTTCAGCTCCGCCCTCGCAGCTCAGGTGGCTGCTCGCTCACACTCCCTCATCAGCATGGAGGAGCAGACGTTCGGAGATGATGATGACAAGGAGGAGAAAGAGGGGGACGACGAAGAGGGCAGAGACAGACAAAACCCAGAGAAGGACTAGAGATGAAACCGCTTTAACCGAGCACTAAGCAGAGACAGTGTTTATGTCTGTGTTACATCAGAGAAAATCCAGCCCACGACACTCTGTCACCCATCCGTCCACATTACTGTACATTACCCACAATTCTTACTGCTCTGTTTGCTGTTAAAACTCAGGTACCAGAACCACTATAACAACATGAAGACCTTACAGTGTTGAGGTCAGCAGACCCCGGTGTCATCCACACTCTGAAACGTGATCACAGTCGCTCTGTAGATGTGGAAGAAACTTCTGATTGTATGAGAAGAAAAACGGTTTTAGTTGCACATTTTTTAACTTTAAATCAGAGCTGCACTGTGTGTTCAGGCAGAAACCCCCCCACAGTCATCTGATTTTATTCATTTATAATAATAACACGAAAAAATTTATAAAATTGGATAAAATTTGAAAACATTTATTCATAATATAAAGAATAACAAGCGACCTGCAGGCTGAAAGGCTGCAGATGGCTTCCTTTAGTTCTCTTCCTCCTTTCCTGTCTCCTCTCACCTGTTCTCATCCAATAAAGGTTTAGAACTCCTTAAAAATTGCAAAGTTTGGACCCAAATACAGGACGCTGGAGACAGATAAGTATCTAAAAACACTCGGAGGCATAACAGCAGCTGAACACAGTTAAGAGGCGAGAATAGTCAGGGAATCGGGTAAAGGACACAAAGCTAACCTTCAGTAAAGCAGGAAGTAACCCAAAACGAACCAAGCTGCATTAAACAATGCTGGCATTAAACATGAAGACAGAGGGGCAAGCTGCCAACAAAGCTCAATATAACCAGGCTTTCTCTGCTTTAGGTGGCTTAAAATTAACATTTGTTTTACAGCTCTGCGTGAGGCTGTTTATTTCGACAGCTGCACACGAGAGCTCCAAAACGCTGCAGACATTTAAATATTAAAAGGTGACTCGGTGTGTTCAGGTCTGACGCTCTCTGACGAAGGAATCATTAGTTCAAACTAAAAGTCATTTACTTTTTATATTCTCAATTCAGTGGGTTTCCAACGGAAGATTGTTCTCGCCATTGGAAAAAAATAAATACATCTCGCCATGAGACGACTTATAAATGTAAACATCTGAGATAATAATCTTTTTTTTCCTGTGGCGTTAAAAAGCTTTCACAGATTTTAAACAAAACTCTGAACATAACCTGCTCCAGCATAGGTTGCCATGGTGATTCAGCCGGTGAAAAGAGGCTTTAAGCCTGTTCTGCAGTACACCATTCTGAGCCTGAGACACAAACAGAAAGACAAAACTGAGAGAGGAGCAGATGAGGAAACGCCAGGGGAACTGTACTCACAGGAAGTAAACTCAAACCAGGAATTCAACACTAACACCAACTTAAATAAAACAATAAAAAAAAAGTGTACTGCAGGTTCTACATGCTTAGCCAGTTTCTAAATATGAATCCAAAAGTTTTTAATACACATCAGGAAATCTGAGCCTTAATGTTTCAGGGAGTAAAATACACAGTGAAATCTGTCCAGGAGCGATTTTCTGTCTGAACACACACACCGAGGAGCTGAAGGTCAAATCAGCTGATTTCTTACGGATCCGCGTGAGAGGCAGCTCTGCGGGAAAAGGAAGTGAAGCTATTTTTACAATCAGCGCTTCTATTTTTGTCCTCGTGGGGGCTTCTGCGCCCCTGATGGGACTCGGAGGAGGTGACATGTAGCTGAACGTGCGTCCACAATCCTGTTTCCAGTGACGTTTTGTGAACTGCTCACAGTTCGATCCCCTTTCTCTGCGTCAGTGTTTACAGGGCCACGCTCAGCGGAAGGGTCGGGCTCAAACGTGTGAGTTTAATGATCTGCTGTGAGTTTACGTTCACCTCTACGGGTACGGTATTAAAAGAAACAAAGGTGTATTTCTCTCATTTGTCTGACAGCCCTGATGCTGGCCCCGCCTCCAACCCAACCAGCCCTCTCTCCTGTCACCGTGTCTGCCTTGTCCTCCTGCATTTTTCAGTGTGAAATAAAAAACCATCCTGGAAGTTTGTCCTCACGCTCGTGTGTCACAGCGGGGTTAAAGAACAGGTTGGGTCGGTTATTTGATCTGTTTCGTGTGGGATTTTGTTCACTGCTGCTGCGCCTTTTTTGGGTCCCTCTTGGCTTTGGAGGCAAATACTTAGATCTGCAGTGGGCAGAGGTAGCTGCTAAAGTTACTTTTAGTTAACTAAACTAAAACTAAACCCTAACTCTTTCCTCTGTGAATGCCAAATAGAGCTGACACTTGTTTTGGTCATATTTCAAGCCTGGCTATGCATTAAGAAGTCAATGAGGGGTATCTCTGCCCTTCTAATGGTCATCAAATCTCATCTTTAATGATGTATACTGAGGTGTTAAAACACTTTAATTAGGGTACATGGAAGGTCTTCATGGTGGAAAGAGTTAATGTAGGTGTGAGTAAGGCACTTCACCAAAAACCAAGAACAGACATATGCTCAAAGAGATCTTAAAAACAGCCTGAATCAGTTACAATTGTTCATCTTGTATCTGTTCAGCTGACCTTACTAGTGCCGAATTGGACCTCTTTTTGTCTTCTAAACTGCAATAATTCTACATGGCACAGATTCAATAAGGTGCTGGTAATATTTCTCTGAGATGGCTTCCAGTAGAGCATCCTAAAGGTGCTCCGTTGGACTATGGAGGGCGTTTGAGTACAGAGTACATCAGAAGATATGCACACTGTGGCCGTTAAGGGATGGCAACAATCAAAGAATATATGCAGGTAGGCCATGGAGTTTAAACAATACTCAGTTGGTACTAAGGAGGTAAAAGTGTGCATATCCTGCACACAAGCAGCAGCAACCTGAACTATGGATACAAGGAAGGGATGGATCCATGCTTTTATGATTTTTACATTAAATTCTAACCCTGAATGTCACAGCAAGAATCAAGACTTGGGCAACATTTTTTCATCTTCTGTGGTCTTATTTTGGTGAGCCTATTTTAACTGGAGCCTCAGTTTCCTGTTCTTAGCTGACAGGATGCATGCTCAATCATCCAGACAAGTAAATCCCAAAAAGTTGATTCTGTTCATCTGGCCGTAGTGTTTTCAGTGGGAGAAACGTTTCAGTGCAGACTGAAGAAGTCGCTTGGATGAGTGACAAAACGTTTCTCCCACTAAAAACGCTATGTCCAGATTAACAGAATTAACTTTTATGGATTAGCTGACAGGAGCAGCGGTCGGTGTGGTCTTCTGCTGCTGTAGCCCATCTGCTTCCAGATTTGACGTACTGCACGTTCAGAGATTCTCTTCCTCGTAACTGGGTTATAAAGTGGTTATTTAAGTTACTGTTGCCTCTCTGTCAGCTCAAAGGCCGAATCACATTTATAGTCACTAAAATCTGATGCTCAGTTTGAACTTCAGCAGGTTGTCTCGTTCGTGTCTACATGCCTAAATGCGCTGAGCTGCGGATGATTGGACATTTGCATTAACTAACAGTTGAACATTTTGCCTAACAAAGTGTGTGGTGAGTTTTTATAAACCATACCAAATTAAGTAGGAGAGCCATTAAAATAAACTTTGTTTATCACAGAAGTGGGAAGTTAATTTCTTACGGCAGCTTAAAAAACACTCCCAAAAACAAGTTAAACACAAACTATAATAAACCTCATGACACAACCAGGAGCAGAACCTGCTACTCTGTAACTGCAAGATATTTACCTGAGAAATCTACAATTCTGACTTAATGAGACATCTTAAAATCTCCAAAGAGACTGCACTGACAAAGTTCAATTTCATGGAAGCAATACTGAGCTCTTTGTTCAGTATAATACAGTTTTGTTATGGTTTAGGTTTGAATCATTAAGAGATAAAGGCTTCTTTGTCTGTCGACTTGCCCCATAGCCAGCCTGAATCTGATCTGTTCAAGTGATCCTGGAGAAACACTTCAAACTGCTAAGGTACCAGCAGAAAATAACAAATAACACCATCTATGCTACTCAGAGACAGTATCTCCAAATGAGTTGTACCAAAATAAAACTTTTAAACTAAATAAGGTAGAAAATTAGTTGAGATTAACTTTATTTATCACACGAGTTGGTATTGAAAATAGGAAGAAGTTAAAATTTGCTGTATGGGTGCACATCAAATGCACTGATAGGTAGTGAGGAGGAAAAACTGATCACTTTTGTGTAAAAACACAACAAAAATGTAAAAGCTTTAACGGTTAAATTTAACTGCTTAAACATTCAATAACAGTCACTATCGTCGGCCACTAGCATTTAGGCCACCCACATGCTGCAAACATGTGTACAACTATAGTGTTTACATTGTTTTTATAAAGGTTGTTTACTGTAGTGTTTACTGCCACCTAGTGGCGGATTCTGGAACTTCCCCGGTCCTTATATTAGGATTAAACTTGTAAAAAAAATAGTATTTTATATTTTTGTGTTAAAAGAAAGAAAAACTCGTCTTCTTTAGTGTGATAAGCTCGTTTGTTATCCTTTTAATTATTCGTATATCACATCTGTTGGTTCCTCAGGTGTTAAAGCTCCTCTTCAGCTGATTCGGCATGTTTTACTATGTGATGCCTTCAGGGGCTGCGTACAGAGCTCCGGTTTCTGACTAAACGTCTTTAAACTCCGCGCATTATAAAAAATATTCCAAATCATACCTTCGTTCATCTGGCAGACAAGTTAACTGCTAAACAAATGCTAAACACCAAACATGGCAGTCAGTGTGTGGTGCATTAAGGGTGTGGTCATTTAATAATTAATTTTAAGCATTCAAGCATATGCCACCACACTGAAAGTACTATTTAAACTGAAATTGCAGGGAGATTAAACCTATTCCTGGTTTTTAGAGTGCCCGTGGGTCAACATATAATAAAAAACGTTATTATTTCCATTTGTATCGTGTTTACTAAATAAATGTTTCTAAATTAATTAAAGACTCTCAACTATTGAGTAATTATATATGATTACTCACTAGGTGTGAGTATATTTAATTATATTATATTATAATTAAATATTTTGAGATAATATGTGTATTTGTTTTAGTAAAACATAGTCCCTCTGTACTTACAAATAAAATATTAATGTAATTAGTTTTATTAACAAGAAGAAAAATCCCGGGTGTCCATGAAGGCAACACATACTGAGGACTCCCACAACCCCTTGTGCTTCCTCTTCCAGCAGCGCCTGCGATCATGGCGGACGTAATAGCGGAGCGGGTAGCAGAGCAGAAAGCGGTCCTGAACCGGGAGCTGAACGGAGAAGCGGAGGACCGAGAGGAGGCCGATCCAGCGGAGGAAACCTCGAAAAAGAAGAGAAAAAAGAAGAAGAAGAACAAGTCTGCGGGGACAGGTGAGCCACGACAGGTGAAGTCTCGTGCTAACAGGCTAACGTTAGTTAGACGGACGAGTTAGCCGCGACCAAACCGGAAATATATGCATACGGCTTCAAAATAAAATCGACAGTTAAAGTTTTAATTATAAATGTAATATTTAAATTGCACCAACGTGTATTGTTTCAAAGCTAAATGAAGTAGTTGTGATTTGTTTTTGCTAGGAAATTTTTATTTAAGTTGTGATGCTGATTTCCATGATAAAGTATGTGAGATAATGTGTTGACATATAGGAAGAGATCTTGAGCCATGCATTACAAGAGCTGTAATGCGTCGGTTATATGAGATTTAGGAATAAGATATGAAGAATTAACTATATTATTTAGACAGTGTTAGTTTACATCTCTTGGTTTCCATAATAGAGGCATTGTGACAGAAACCGCGGTCATTGTTAGCTTTATTCTGAAATTTACACCGGAAGCAGTGCAGTTGAGTGGTTTCAGCTTCTCCACGTCCTACTCGTTGGACATGCGGGCGCAGATCAGTGCAGATTGGGCTACCGCTGTGCCTCTTGGGCCTCAGCGAGGACACCGGGCTTTAAGCGGAGCTCCCCACGGGAAACGTGCCCTCTGTCATGGAAGGGCAGCTTTAGGGTGGAAGATAGTCCTTCCAGGAGCTGTCCTCCCTGCTGCTGCCGCCCTCCCCCCGCCGAGCTTCAGCCAAGCTCTCCTGTTTCGTAATTCTCCCTTTGCCAGACTTATTATGTAAGAAAAGAACAGAGGAAGGTTTATTTTGAAAATTAGCCGCAGTTAAAAATATTTTTCTTACTTATTAGATAGTTAATAACATTCAGAACATTACAAAATAAAATACAGCTTTTATACACTGTGTAATTGAAGACATTTATTTAAAAGCCATATTTTAAGTTTATGGGGAATGGGCAGTGGTGTCAGTTTTCTTTGTGTCTGATCTGTTTTTCTTATTTAAGAGAAAAAAGAAAAGAAACAAAAAAACACACTGCCTTCAAGTAGGACAATAACACAACAGTACTTATCTCTTCTTCACCTGGTTATCTTTAACTGTGTGGGTAGAGCCCCTTGCAAATTTACGCAGTTGCTTTGGAAGCCAAGAAATATTTATGCTAACCAACAAGACCAGCAGTAGCCAAACTGATAGCAAGACTCTGTTCACTCAATTTTTGAGCTCTGTAACACTGATCCATACACCTCTGGCTACCGTCTGGCATCATTAAGCTCTTCCTCCTTTTCTAATTGGCCGTGATGTCATGGAGAATCCTGGCTGATGGGTTATTTGTGGCATAGTGTCAATGAAAAGTCGCTGGCTCCTGTATCAGCGAGTGATGCGCCCTTAGTGCTGCTGGTGTAAATGGTGCAGAGCTGTGGTGAGCACAAACAGACCTTCACGCTGTCATTACCCAGCATGCCCTTCAGCGGTTTAATATTGCCCTCGTTTTTTTGTGTGTATGCCGTGATCTTTGCCCAGGTGAAAAGAGGGGCACAGGTCCTGTCAGAACATTTAACAATTCTATTAATAAAAGCCAGTTTTGTAGAGGTTCATCAAACAGGGAAAACTGTGTTAAAGCAGGATTAAGCTGGGCTAAGTTGAGAGCTCAGGTGTGTGGTCACATTACTTAGTGTACACCTTAAGGTCTGCCTCATTACCGAAGGTGTTTTAGAGAGTTAAATTGAAATGTTACTTTTGTTTTTATTAGTTTACTTTATAGTGATGTAAGCTTTAATCCATCAAAAACTGCAGGAAAATGTTCAGATTGTCTATTCTTATTTAATTCACTTAATGTACAGAATTCACCTGCTTGCTGCATACAATGCTACTACTGCACATTCGCCTAATGTATATAATATATAATGTTCTTCCTCCCCCCCCCCCTTTTGCACAAGTCGAGGAGCGTGTCAGGTTACATTTCACTGCGTGCTATACTTGTATAACTATGCATGTGACGAATAAAGAATCTTGAATCTCTTGAAGGATGTTCCTCATTTGTGGATTATAGTGTTGAGATTTCAGGAGAGCGTGGCTCAGACCATCACATCTTATTTTGTTTTAACCCTGAATATTGCTTCCCTATCAGGCCATTAAAGGTGTATATTTTAAAAGTAGTGAGTAACGATTCATTTCTGGGTCATTGGCATCTGTTTACAGGCACTGAGGCAGAGGTGGAGGCGGACGGAGTGGCCGAGGTGACCAAACAGCTGGAGAAGCAGGCGATAGAGGACAAAGAGAAGGAAGAGGAGGGCGAGGAAGGTGACTGAAGTCAAACATCAACACTTTAACCTGCGGTGGTGTGGACAGGTCAAATGTAAACATTGGATTTAGTAGCTGTTTTTTTAAAAAAAAGTCTTAACTTACACAGACGGAGACGATGGAGAGAACTCTGCAGGAAAGAAGAAGAAGAAGAAAAAGAAGAAGAAAGGAAGTGAGTTAATGATATTTTAGTGGAAAAGCAGACTCGGTGTGTTTTATACCGGAGCCAGGTGTTTCTGTAAGACATCTGTTGGTGAGTCTTTGTTGTGTTTTGACAGCCAAATGTCAGACTGATCCTCCATCTGTGTCCATCTGTGAGCTCTACCCAAGCGGAGTTTTCCCCATTGGACAGGAATGTGAATACCCTGTCGTTCAGGATGGGTAAGACGAGCATACACACACACACCTACACTTGCGACTTAAGTTCTACTTCTCTTTTAAATCTCTTTAGCTTTTAAAATGCCAGGTGGGTTTTTTCAAAATAATATTTTGACTTTTTTCCAAAACTTCTGAGTTAATTTTGGGAATTGAACTTACTCTTGGAATAGACGTGGATTTCCCTGCAATGCATATTTTTGATTTTATTCCTGAAATAGTATTGCAAAATTTTTCTCAAAATTCTAACTACATTTCTGGAATAATATTTCAAAATCTTAACTTATTCTCTTTTTGTTAGTATCACTCAGAGTGGTACTAACAGTAACAATAGTTAGCATGGAAGGACTTCTTTAGTGGTTTCCTCTGAGTGTGTGCCTGAGGTGTGCAGGTTTCATTTAATCTGTTTTTACTTCCATTGCCTTCCCTTCTTGTTCCCGTGTTTTCTGGCTGAATTACATCAGAGGTTTTACATGTGAGGCTCCTGCAGCAAGCTGTGGACCACACTGTGCAGTGTTTATATCGCAGTCTTTATTTCCTCTTTCTGGGAAACACTTTTTAATCTTGTGATCTGAAAAATTACTCATCTCTGTCTTTAACAGAGGAGAGACTCTCTGTATTTTCCAGTAAAGACAAAAACATTCAACTAAGTAGTTTCAGCAGGTGCATATTCATGAAGAATGTGGTCTCCAAATGCTTTTATTAGCTTTAGAAACTGTAACTGAATCCAAATTTGATGCTTGAACGTGCTGCGCTGCTGTTTTTGTTTCACCTCCCAGTCGCAGCGCCGTGTCACGCATGACCAACGAGGAGAAGCGGGTGCTGGATAAAGCTAACGAGGAGATGTGGAACGACTTCAGGCAGGCGGCCGAGGCGCACAGGCAGGTCCGGAAGCATGTCCGCAGCTTCCTGAAACCTGGCATGACCATGATCGAAATCTGGTGAGGCTGCTTTTATCTTCTGTCGCTCGTAGAGGCGGCTGTTTTGGAATTAGATCAGAAGATTTGGATTTCCTGCTGATGCCCTTCTCTGTTTTGATTAGCGAGCGGTTGGAGGACTGCTCTCGTAAGCTGATAAAGGAGAACGGGCTGAACGCCGGCCTGGCCTTCCCCACCGGCTGCTCCCTGAACCACTGTGCTGCTCACTACACTCCCAACGCTGGAGACACCACTGTCCTCCAGTACGACGACGTCTGCAAGATCGACTTTGGCACTCACATCAACGGTACGCCGACTGAACCTTTCTGCTTCTTTTACTGCTGTTTAAAAATACATCAGCCATTGGATGCTGACCGGTGTGCTTCTTTCTTCCGGTGTCTGCCCGCAGGGAGAATCATTGACTGTGCCTTCACCGTCACGTTTAACCCAAAGTACGACAAGCTTTTGGAGGCCGTGAAAGACGCCACCAATACCGGAATCAAAGTAAGACCTGAACGGACGCCTCGTTTTTAGTTGGTGTGTGTTTGTGGATCCTGCAGCTGAAACATGTTTGTTCTCCTCTGAAGAACGCCGGCATCGATGTGCGCCTGTGTGATGTCGGAGAGGCAATCCAAGAGGTGATGGAGTCCTACGAGGTCGAGCTTGATGGCAAAACATACCAGGGTGAGATCACACTGTCATTACAGGATACTCAACTTTATAGAAAACAGTAGTTTATGCTATCCGTGAAAATCCACCCTCACGTGCACCATGACTCGTGTGGTAATGTTCACAGACTCGTGCATTTCTGTTTCATCTGAATTATTTTTTGTTTGTTTTGTTTTTTTTAAGCAAAAAAATAAAGAAAAGAGCAAAAATCTGCAACATGTAAATGATCTGAGGTCGTTCTCACATGACAGAGCTTCACGTATTTTTCCCTCTGTGATCCTTTTACTCTAAATGCAGCAAAATCAGAGCTCAGACATTATTTTAAACTCTGCGTAGCTCCTGTAAAAAACTGACATGAAGAGCTTCAAATATTTCCCAGTGCTTACTAAAGACGTGTGCAACTAGTCAGCAAGCGAGTTAAACAAATTACTCTTATTTTATTAAAACAACAACTGGCGTGTCCACAAAGCGTCTCAAGTCTGGATAAAGGTGGAGAGTTGCATCAAAAAGGACATTGAACCAAAAATTTTGAATATGCCGATCATGAAAAATTAGATTCAGGGCATTATTCTAAGATATAAATCTACAACGGAGTCTCTCCTCTGCTGATATTTGTGTGCCGGTGTGTACACAAACTGAATATTTTCACTTTAAAACTGGGAAAAACTTACATTTCGTCTTTTTTTCCCTGCGTTGCAGTGAAGCCCATCCGAAACCTGAACGGTCATTCCATCGGTCAGTACAGGATACACGCTGGAAAGACTGTGCCCATCGTTAAAGGAGGAGAAGCGACGAGAATGGAGGCGAGTACTTCCTGGTTTCCTCACATTTTGATCAACTTACTCACTGCACGTGATTCTAACGCAATATCAGAATTTCTAAAAAGTAAAAAAAAACTAAACGCTGTAAAAAGAAGCTGAAGAGCACCTTCAGCTTCACTTCTGACGATTTTATTTTCGTTGACTCGGGTGTCGCTCTACAGGAGGGCGAGGTGTACGCCATCGAGACGTTCGGCAGCACGGGTAAAGGCGTGGTCCACGACGACATGGAGTGCTCGCACTACATGAAAAACTTTGACGTCGGCCACGTCCCTATCAGGTGAGAGCCTGTGTTTATTTAGCTCGCCTGGACAGGGAGCGTATTAGTTAGCAGTAACTCACTGACTCCTTTTCTTCTCCAGGCTGCCGCGAGCGAAGCACTTGCTGAACGTGATCAACGAGAACTTCGGCACGTTGGCGTTCTGCCGGCGCTGGCTGGACCGCCTAGGCGAGAGCAAGTACCTGATGGCCCTGAAGAACCTGTGCGACCTCGGCATCGTGGACCCCTACCCCCCGCTCTGCGACACCAAGGGCTGCTACACCGCTCAGTTCGAGCACACCATTCTGCTCAGGCCCACCTGCAAGGAGGTGGTGAGCCGGGGGGACGACTACTGACACCCCTACCTTCCAGCACCACCAGACCCCGCCCCCTCACTACCACACAGCACCTGTTGGAGAACTCGGGGATGAAGTGAAGGATGCCAGACGCTGACAGTGCACAGCTTTCAGGGAAGGAGAAGCAGCTGTCTGAGCGCTCCGCCATCAACCACAACTAAAGAAACAAGCCCACACCTTTCTCTTGGATAGAGATTTGTTTTTTCCAGTTTCCATCAGGACTATCATATTGCAAAATATTACATTTAAGCTGCTGCTGAATTTAGTGCAACCCCAGTTTTCAAAGAGTTTCTCTCCACTTTGAGCCTCCGGGGCTTTGGTGCTCTGTTAAAATGAAGCACCAAGGCCACTGACGGCTTAAAGAAGTGGTCAGGCCTGCATGCTGGCATGGCCCAAAGTCTTTGCAGACTGTTCCTAACATTTAAAAGCTTGGGGAAGAGGTGGTCTTGTAGTTAGATATTCATACAGACACCGGTCACCTGCAGCTCTATGTTTGGCTTCTGTTGCAACAGGAGGGAACTCTGCACTATGGCCCTCCGCTTATCGGTTCTTTGGTATTTGTAAAGTATCTTTGAAATGGCTGCTGCCACTCTGTTCCAGATTAAAATGCTTCATTTTCAAACTCTCCCTGATAATGCTTTTATAAGAAAGAAAATTAACTAAATAATTTTGCTCATTTGTGGGCTCCCTACTGATCACTTTGTGCAAGAAACCTAAACGGTGCATTTTCTTAATTAAACCTTATTGATTAATCAGCGGTTAATTTTATAAAAATGGTAAATGGTTTTATACCTGTAAGTAGGATGCTACCACTTAGAAAGGTTAACATGGCTTATTTAAGCTTAGCATGGAGACTGGAGACTGTTACTGGCAATAAAACGTCTAATACCCTTCAATAAGGGGAATTTTCATGCATTGTAGATTGAAGGTAAATAACGAAGCACAGACGGGCATCTTTTGTAGAAAAATGAAAAAATATTCTCATTTATTGAGGTAATTTTTTTTTCTAGAAAAAACAAAAAATTGAGGTAATAATTTGCATAGTATAACTTCCATCAATTTACACACGGCGCATCCATGGAGCAGTAACCAAAATGCCAACAAATAACAGAACTGTGGACAGAGGGAAAAAAAAAAACCCCACACAGAGTGTGCTTCGACTCCCCTCTGCTCAGAGGGAAGATAATTGAACAGTGAAATCTGTTAACTGCTGGTGGTTTTCAACAATCTGAACAAAGTGGTTGTATAAAACGTTTAAAACAGTCGATGGCCTCCTTTGTAAAATCTCTGAGAAGAATTGTATAAAAAGTACATTCATAATCTAAATGCTGGCCTGTGTGGGACTCCCACTTTGCTGAATTGATATGAACTATAAAAATAGATTATTTTGTTAAAGGGCACTTTTCAAGTACAGCAGTTATCTGCCTAGTCAGGGATGGTTTACCGTTATGCAGTTACATTCTGAGGCAGACAGGGGGCAGCACTGAGCCAAATAAAAATAAAAAATTAAACCAAAAACCACATTAAGTAAGAAAATGTAGATTTACAACTTAGCATGCTGAAAATAAAGCTGGGATTTTAGGAATAAAGCTCTCGAGTAGAACACAGCTGTAGGCCTCATTCAATTTTACTTGTATTTTTTCCCCCGAAAAGATAGTCCTCACCTTTAATATCACAAAACTTGTGTACTAAAAGAGAAATGCTTTCTTTTGTAGTCTCAGTAATAGTGTTTTGACTTTAGTCTCATAATTTGGACTAATTTCCTCAAAATGTTGACTTTCTTTTAAAAGAATACAGACTTTATTCTCAGATTGGTATTTAATTTTTTTAAGTTACTTTAATCATATTCTGACATTATTCTCAAATCCAACTTTATTCTTGTAACTATTCCAATGTTTTTCAAAATGTAGACTTTATTCTCAAATGTTTTTGCATTGCAAAATTATTCTCAAAATTCTAACTATATTTCTAGAATAATATTTCAACACTCCAAATTATTTTCTAAATCTAACCTTCTTAATGTGGCCCTGTCACACTCATTCGTAGCTGTCATTAAAAACTCCATAAAATACTGAACCGTTTAGGAGAAGCAGGGCTTTCCAAATACTTCCCGCAAATACTTTGGCTTGAGGTCTGCCTCAGAGTGAAAAACATTGCTCGTGTACAGATTTTTAAACAACCAACACTAAAAACCTGCACTATACACATTAGTGCATTTTTTGACAAGGAATCGGGATGAACGCCTGTGAAAATGTTTACCTGTCTCAGACACACGGAGGCCATTTCTACTGAGTGAATGACAGTTTATAACCCTACATCCAGTTCTGTGTTGACTGTCTAAAGTGACTGAGAAACATTTCAGCTGATTTATAAAACAAAACAAACAAACAAAAACCCCAAAACACAGCATTTACAATCAACAAGCCTCGCGCACAGGTAAGCAGACATACCTGTAGAGTATGTAGTCATGCCTGACCAAAGTCTACTGGCTGCTTGACACAGACACCTTGGCTGATGCTCTCTTCTTTATAAAATACAACTGTACATGAATCACAAACATAATCTTTAAAAAAAAATACCTACATATAAACACAATATACAACAAGTTCACAAAGCAGAACCCAACTTTACAAACGAGTCCTTTCTCTCTCACCTCCTTTTTGTTTTGTTTTGTTTTTTTAATAGAAAAATAGACTAAAAAGACCCAACCTCCCAGATACAAAATGCCCAAAGAAAGAGGGAAGAGAAAGACCGATAGGTGGGGCTGTGCTGATGTCACCTCGCTGAGTAGTCGGGCTGCTGGGGAGGTGGCAGCGGGGTTCACAGAGGGGTGTAGTCCTATAGCGACCGGTCTCTGTCCTGAGATACTCGCTGCGTGTAGAAGAGGATGTAGGCCTGAGCGCGGCAGACCTCATCCACCGAGCACACGTTCAGCTTAGAGTCATTACAGTGAACCCAGAAGCCTGGAGGAAGAGGAGGGACGAGTTACCCAGATGAGCAGATGTGTTTGGAACAACACGTTTGTTTACTGGGGTTGGTTTTTGAGATCCCGCTCCCACAGAGCCACATACTTGGACACTGGCTAAACAACTGGAAAAGCACTCAAATTCTACTTTTAACCCCATGGAGCACATATTTGTTTTTTACTCTGTAGAACTGGTATCAAAATCACATCCTGAATACTCAACATGACAAGATGTTGGGAAAATTAAGATCAACACAACCTGGTAATATCTTAAAAACTTAAAATCTAATTTTAAGTTTAATAAAATAAAATACCTGAAGTTTAATTTAGCAAAAAGCCTTGTGCCAGTTACTGAAAACAAAGATTAACTTAGCCTAACCATAATCTCAGCGTACACAGAAGTTCATGTATATAAATATCAGCAGGAAAGAAACTAAACTACATTTAACCTTATTCACATGCAGCAGTGAATGAATCAGGTGGTAAAATTGGAACAATAGTCCTGAAAGCTTCCTCGTGTCCTATTAATAACCTGCAAATACAGCTGAGAGGGCCGAGGAGGGAAAGTCATCATTTCTGCAGGAATATGAGGCGTTAGTTTGACTCTTTCGGCGACGATGACGCCGCGTTTCGTTCTGACAAGATAAAATTCATCCTGAGCATGGATCTCATGAGAATCCTTTCAGTGGCATTTCACTGTGGCAGAGGAACCTCTGGACTTTAATGTGGACATTTTGAGAGGATGAAGGGAACAGTTCCCACAGCATTAATCCTCCTGTGACCGGGGCATTCACTGCTGTGTACACTTCCCTGCTTAAACCCAAACACAGAGAAAGAAGTAAAGAAAATGACTCACCTCCTTCTGTGTTGTAGCAGTAGGAAGTGTAGTGGCCAGAGCCAAAGCCCTTCCCATGATGCATCACCACGGCCGAGAGCTCGTAAAGGAAGTGCTTTGAGCGGGGCGAGCCAGCGGCGCTGGGGCTGCTGGGACTGGAGTAGGGCATGGCTTTGGGTGAGGGCTCTCGGCAGCAGTAGGGCTCCATGTTGAGGAGCTGGTCGAAGCTGACGTGGACTCCAATCTTTTCCCGGTGGTTCCTCCCAGACCACCTGAGGACCAATCAGAAGGCAGAGAAAAAGCTGAGAGGTGATCTTCTAAGAACAGCTAAAGGTTATTAGTGTTCTTACTAGAGTCTAATCTCTAGAAGTCACATCCATGTATAATAAAGTGAAAATTTGAGTTAACACTTAAGACACGGTTATATTAATCCAGGTTATATTAATCCAATCAACTCCACAGGCGTTAACGTCTCCTCACCTGAAGCGTTTGAGGTGCAGCCTTAGGACCTGAGGCAGTTTATGGACCATCAGCTGCTTCTGTGCTTCGGTCAGAATGACTGGCTTGGATGAGGCCCGTCTTCTGGCAGCTGCACACACATGGAGAGAGGAAAGAGCTGACACACAGCACAAAGATCACTTTTTGTGAGCGTCGACGCAGCTTTAAAGCGGTCACGTGACCCTGTGATTATGTAAACTGCTGCAGAGCGATAAAGGCGCCATTTTACATGAACATTTTAGAGTAGATCTGAGAAGCAGTGCAGGTATTTGTGTTAGTTTAGTCCTGAAGGAACCACACTTCTAAATGCTTTCATTTAGAAGTGTGAAAACATGTCCTTGATTTCCTGGATACCGTTGTTGGGTATGTTTATTTTTTATTAGCTGCTGCCTACAAACCGGAATGTCCCCACCATGTCCTGTTTTGTTTTCACGACAGGCACTTACAGGCTTTCAACATTTGAGTCAGTCAAGACTGCAGCCAATCATTTTACCCATCTTACCCTCACTGTGATAGTAGGGAATTTGAAGTTTGCTTGGATTTCAGCTAAGCGGTGTGAGTGCTGCACGGCACTTACACCGCACGGCAGCGAAAAGCACGGCATCAACGTAATGAAACGCTGGTAACATGTTTTATAGTCACCAAAATGCTTCCATTTGTTGTTTCAGTGTCACAGATGTGACTAAAAGGTGCAATTTGGTTGCTATCGGTGGTTGTTGGACTTTTTTAATTTTAGAAGGGAGCATATCACAGGGAAAAGGAAGTGGGAGCAATAGAAAAAAAATAGAAAAATAATACTTTTACAGTACAACAAACACACACTGTGGTAAACAGGGACCACTTTCAGTAGTTTTAAATGTTCAGGCTTTCATAGAAATTAAGGTTGTGACCCAAGTTTTTACTTTACATCTGGTCCATAGATTATATAGGCGCCTGGCCATGGAGTGCCTTTCTTCTACTTATCCAGCCACCGATCTGTCCTTTTAGCCTTGTTTTTTTTTTTATTCCCTCTTGAATTTCTCTGTCTTTAGGTTGATCAAATGTCCAAAAACATCTTCCCTCTGTGAGTTTGGACACAGCTGTTTTTCATCTGTCTCGTCTTGTGAGTCCGAGAGGGATCCTTCAGTTTTCATTAACAATGTTATACCACAAACTTAGTTCTACCATAAAGCACGTTTTAGTTACTGAGTGATACTTTTACAGGCTTAGTTATCGTTTAGTTTGTATCCCCTCTTTTTTCAGCATGTTTTATAGGTGAAAACTGTAAATATCTTGAGTTTAAAGTAAAAAAAACAACTGTGTGGCTCGTCTCACTCACAGTTAC